AATCAGGGAAAACAACTTTTTTCCATCCCCAATAAAATATTTGCACCCAAAGCAAAATCAACTGATTTCTGGCTTTCTACCAGTTCTGCTTGGGCATAAAATTTTCTGACACTTCACCAGAAATGTCAGCATTAGCATAAGGCAGCTTTAAAGAAGGAAATGATTTTCTGACCTGTGGATAACCCCTTCAACCCCAACAGGAAAAGGAATTTTAAAAAACACCTGAAACCCAGTTTTTCCAGTTATTAGTATAAATGGGACAAACTATTTTTCTTAGTGGCCAAGTCCTTCCTTATAGGAAGTGCTAGTCTCTGAATTTGGTGAGGGCAGGGGTCGTGTCTGTTTTACAGTTCTCTCCCCAACACCCACCTCAGACTGGCATGGAGAAGGATTTCAGTGAATAGTCAGGAAAGGAGGGAAAGGGAAGGGAGGGAGAGAGAGAGGAAAGGAAGATGGAGGGAGGGAAGAAGGGAGCAAAGGATGTACGTGGAGGGAAGAAGGGAAGCAGAAAGGGAGAGAGGAAAGGAAGGAAGGGGACGAGGAACAGAAAGCAAAACAGGGAGGGAAGGAGAGAGAAAATGAGACAAGTTCAGAAGGAGCTCTTTTCCCCTCTCAGTTTATTTGTATCTTTATTCTTCTTGAACTTTCAAGCATCCAGCTTGATAGAAAACCAATCATACCCTTTCTTAGGGCTTCCTGTCTGAAGTTAGGTATGATATCCATTGCAGTCAACTCAGCCTGCAGAAAGAGCCCACCAGCAAATCTCCGTGGGGACCAAGTAAAGAGTGGGAGGAGTGAGATGAAGCTAATGGAAGTTCCTTTCTTTAACGGTCATTTATTCAACAACATGCAGGAGTATGACTGCCACCTCCAGCGTGTGGCACAACACTGCATCAAGCTACAGATCCATCCAGCTCTCAAGGAGGCCAGTGTCTGCTAGGACACACGGTGCACGGATTGACCGCCCTAATCTGAGGTAGGGCATGACACAGGCCAGGGAAAAGGATCAGATAAAGCGCTGAGGAGCTCAAGGCAGGAAGAAATTGCTTCTGCCTGATGGGCCTCAGGGAAGGCTGGCTGGACGAAGTGACCTGACTGGCCCTGGAGGGCCAAGAATTGTACACAAGGCACCAGCCTAGGGTGGGGGAGGTGTGGTTGAGGGAGAGGGAGGGCATGAATCTCAGGATGGAGGGAGAGGCTGACTGCACAGTGGCAGGAGAGTATTTCCCCAAAGTCTTCATGGACTAGATTCTAAGAACACCACGTCTGAGAAATCATAGACTGAACACAGTTGCACAGGTTTCCCTACTGCAGGCCTTCTCAGAGCTTTTACTATGCAATTGGAGCAGAAATGGAAAAAGATCCAATTGGTAAATCAGAAAGGATTGGCTTTTGGAGGAAAAACCCCAACGCTTTCACTTACTAACTGTACTAAGTTGAGTGAAATATTTAACTTTTATGAACTCCAGTTTCCTCTTCTCTAATACAGAAAAAATGACAGTCCCAAGCTCATACAGTTGTTATGAGAAGTAAGTACTACATCAAAGGTGATTAATTCAGCACTGGCACTTAGTTAATGATCAGTGTTATTACTTCTGCTGCTACTTCTGTTATTTCTCTTATTATTAATATCAACACACATCATGAATATGAAAATGAAGAATGTAATATACAGCATTTCTTAAACAGTTTGGTTAGTTTTTCATCAGCTACTTTTTGGCAATGCCAAGTCAGCATGCAGGGCCTAGACTAGCACACAGTAGGTGCTCACTATGTATTTGTGGAAGGATTGGGGCCAAGAACTGACCCTAGTAAAGAGAAAATTGCAGGACAGCAAGGAGGTGCTCTGGGCAAGGTATTTTTCATCATTTCTTTGGGCAATAGGGCTTTGAGGTCCAGGAGGAGGGACTCCATCTTTTGCTAGAAGAATGAGGGATTGAGAGTGCACTATTCGGCTTTCGGGAAACATCAGAAAGAGTTTATTTTGGTAGAATTGTTTGAAGTGACTCAGTAACAATGAACCCACATCTGCTGCCAGGCGCCAGCCATCAGCTCCAGCCTGCTTGCTGGGGAGATGCACACAGTCCGTCACCAACAGCTCCTGCATGGGACATGTGCAGACAGGATCCCAGAAGACCCACTTCAAAGACAGCTCTTTCCTCTCCAAGAGGGGATGCTGAGGCACAAACAAGGAAGCAGCTGACCTAGGATCCAAAGCAAACTGCATGCTGGGAGAAGCCTGAGCCTTCAGGTTTTTCTTGGTTGATTCTCTGGCAGGACTTTGAACTGAACCCCAAAGGATACTTTTCTGGTTTGGGTCAATTGCTGAGTACATTCATCTAGATAACCTCATCTGTCATAAGTCACACACTCATCTCGCAAACAGTTCCTGGAAATGAGCAAATTTCACATAGAGTCTCCTCCTGAGTGCAATGCAGGGCTCCTGTTAGACCTCTCCAGCTTCCTACTGGTTCATGTGTAAGTAGATTACTGACAGAAGTGGAGTTTTCTGGAGTGAGAACCTAAACAGGTTTAGAATAGGACATTTGCATTTCACCAAACCCAATACTTAGCATCTGTCCACCTGAATTTAAGGATGCAAGTCCACACAGAGTTTGAAAAGGAAATGAGGCCATTTAAAAAAGTAGTTGAGGGAAGAACTTCTCAGGCAGCCCACAGTACATAGAAAAGACCCAAGAGTTAGTGAAGCTTTCAAATTCCAGATTGGGAGGTGGAGAGGTGCAGAGCAGACTACAAACTCCTACAGTAAGAAAGACCAGACGGTACTTTTTTTTTAAGTACATGATGTGTATATATACACATATACAGGTACATATGCATGCATAAATACATGTATCTCAATGGTGAGCCATACAAAGAAAGTACATGGGCCAGAGATCCTCTATTCAATTCAATTGTTATATTTCACTTTATTTTAACTGGTAAACCTGGAAGTGGCTGGGGAAAAAGCGTAGTTAACTCTGGAAACTTGTCAAAGCTCAAGAAAGCTTCCAGGACTCTACAGACTTATATGTTTTCAGGAGAGCAGAGCTGTCCAATTCCTCCTACACTAAAAATATAACTAGAGATTATTTACAAGAGTTGCACATTTTCTCAATTGTGTTCATTTGGGGCAATAGATTAAACGCTATTGAAATGATCTGTATCCTGATTTGGCCACTACAGTTCACCCGACTAGACTTGGCCTGCACATTCTACCAAACTCAATCAGCACACCTGGCCCCTTGTCCAGCAAACCCCTTGTTACCCACAGCCTCTCCCAGCCCTAACCTTGCATTCTGTCTTCTGAGAGTCAGAGTTCATGTTCATTTACCTTGAAATAGGACAAAAAGTAAATATTGCACAATACAGTTCCTGGCACATAAAACACACAGCAGAACGCCCGTGGACAACATCTGAAGACCAAGACAGGCAGCCTGAGGTGTGAGAGCAAAAGGGGTCCCTGGTCTCTGGGGCTTCAATATCCAGCAGGTGCAGATTAGGGGTGGCAAAGGGAAGGCAAAAGGGGAAGGAAAACAAAAAACACAGGCAAGAAGAAAAGCTTAAATCTTCATTAAATGAGTGGATCCAAAACGTGGAGGAAAGGTTTGGATGCCATGTGGCCAAGCCTCGCCTCCCCAACCTTCATTATGATGCCTGTCTCTGCACACAGGAGCCCCAGGAAGCGATTAACAGTCATTGGGTTTTAGTGAGAACAGTACTGTTGGGCCACACTTTTAATCTCTGTTCAGATCTCTGTTTGGGGAGCTATTGAGAATGAGCTTCCTTCAGCGTGATGAAGTTCAAGGCAGTTCCTGTGGGACACCCAGTGTGGTATGTGGGAATAGCAGAGAAGTGGTTTCATTTTCAAGGACTATGAGCCCCAGGGGTTGGAAGCAGGCGGTGGGACAAAACTGGTGTGTGGGCAGGAGGCCTTGTTTTGAAATTATTTACTGCTGGCATAAATGCATTGGTCTGGTGGATTGGGTGATAAGCAGTGGACAGAATAAAGAGAAGCAGATCCCGCATAAAGAGAAGAAAATAATATAGCGTCCCTCTCAAAAGAGCAACTATATTGGCTACCAACTTAATTTGAGTCTTTTTTTTAAGTCTAGGTAGCCCAGATCATAAATGAGCATCCTTCAGTAATCTCATTGATTGAATGACAAAGAAATCACTAGATATTACTATGCATTATTGGAAAGAGAAGTCTTGCTTGACTTAAGGAGAACCAGTTATTGACTTGGCTCTCCCACCTTAGAGGAATCAAACCCAGGATACGTTTTGAAACAAAATGTCCATTTCGCTTTTTACTATCAGGGTACACACAGGCAACATCGAATTCAGGTTCACATTTGGTTCCATATGCTATGTCCTAGGTAATTAAAGTATGTCTTATGGCCAATAAAAATGAAGTGAAAAAGTTAAAAACCAAAACAATGACAGGAAACAACATGTGTGTACAATATGTTACTCACACACTGATAATTTTCAAAAGTGACTTAAAAAAGTATTATAAATCTTTCCAAACACAGTGATTTATTAAGCGAAAAGTCTGAATGGTTTGCACTATTAAATTTAGCTTTTAAGTTGCTGTGTCATGGGCAGATCTTTTGTTCTCCTAAGTTAAACTTAGCATCCCGCATTCTGTTTTTTCCACAGCTCCATGTTTTGTCATCATGCAGTCGATTTTCTGAGCTGCTCAGGAGAAATGCACTAAAGAGTTTTCATGATGATTTCTCTTACCGATTCGATAATCCAGGAATAGAATGTATCAAATAACCCAACAGTGATTTATTTTCCATCTTCTTCTTTACCTTTTCCCACCTATACAGGCTTCTCATAAAATAAACCTTCCATTAGCATGGGATGAAATGGAAAAAAAGAAAACGTGGTAGCCAGAGGAAAACCATTTGAGAAACGTGTTTGTTAAACAAGTGCAAGCAATAAATTGAGCTTAGGAGGGAAAGGCAGTTAGAAGAAAAACTGAAAGTACTGACCTGAAAGTCAAGCTGATTGGAGCAAGGGTGAAAGCAGCAATTTGGAGGATAAGCAGAAAGGAAAAGGGATAGCAAAAGAGAATAAAAGGAAGGAAACGCATTAGTTTTAAACATACAGCCAACAGATGTTATATTAGCAGGTTTTATAACCAAATGAAGGACAATAAAGCAACTTTTATCTGATATTACCCCAAAAAGGCCTGGCACACACCATAGGCTTTTATATTAAATATACTACATAAGAAACCAGTATCTGCTCTCCCGCGCATCATCACGACAAGCACTGATGTGAAGTAGAGGCGTGCTCTGGAAACCCAATGGAGGAATTTGCCCTTTTCTAGAGGACTATTTATAGAGAAAGTTCCTATCTGTGTGCATATAAAATTTTATTATTTAATAAACTGAAGTGGAAATTAAGGTGTTAGAGCTGGCGGTAAGCACTGCTATCAGAAAGATTTTATTTGAACCAGTAAGTTGTATGGTTATATCCTATGAGATATTTTTCCTTCATCCCAGAAAACCAAAAGGTGCTGAGCAATTGGTTTTCTAGTCAAAGATTTCCATTCTGGATGCTCACAGAGCACTGCACCTAACAATGATCAAAGACACCAGAAGGAGGACTTTGGGTGAAGTGTCGCCTGCGTATCAGCCTCCCAAGAAAGGACAGAGTAACTTCCAAAGCTGAGAGTGATTTTTTTTCAGTTGTGTAAATGAGGATCATACTTCATCACTGAAAATATCCAGAAGCTTGATACTTTATTTGTACAAAAATATTTAACATGCCCTTCTAATCAGTCAAAACAATAAAGTGTCTACTGCCAAGCAAAAATCAAAAGGAAAAAACATCATGATCCTCTTCAGGCTACCACAGGAGCACAGTGGACATTCATTTTGTTAACCTATATAATGCCCTTTGCAAAAAACAAAGTGGATAAACAAACACTTTGCCAGCTATCTGCTCAGTGGGACCCCACTATTCCACAGTATTAAGAAGTAGTTTTAAGCATTTCATACAACAAGGAAAAACAAAATAAATCCTCAGGAAACAGCTTAAACAAGAACATTTCAGATGAAAACAGCATTGACTATAATGATAAAATCAAAGAGAAAATTCAAGACTAAACACATGGTGAAAGCATTGATCCAATAAGTCCCCCTGCAGAGTGTTTCGTGATCATGAACGCGCAACTGATCAAAAAGAAGCTAGGTCAGGCCATAGTCACTGTGGGGACTCGTGACGCTGGCCTCAGCTGCTGTTTGAAATCCTTCTGGATCAGAGGTATATCAAATTGAGGTCCGCGGCCAAGCTTTAGGGAATTCTAAACTGAAATAGCAAGCAAATATTTAAGATTTAGTTGCCTTTTCCAGGGGTTCATAGTTTTCATCAAATTCTCAAAAGCTTCCATGATACCCATGACCTTCCCCCAAAAGTTGCTAGGGATGGTGTTAAACCATCTGCCACTTGTTTCAAAGAAACTCCTTCAAAAACATTAACAAACGTAAGTGGAAATTACTTAGCAAGAAGAGTTTATACCCAAACAAAGAGAGTTGGTATCAAGTTTCTTCCATGTACCATGGGACTTTTAGAACATATTATCATAATTTTTTTAAAAAATAAAGCTTGAGTTTACATTTTGTGAAAAGAATTCTGAAAGGCATCAAAGAAATTATGTCATCATGTTAATGAATAAATTCAGAAGAAAAAATAATAGTCTGTTTCTCATCCTCAGATAAGGCACTTTTAGGCATCTAATATGATTTCTCCATGTCCAAATGTCTGGTGGCATTAGCCCCAGACCCAGATAATTAAGGGCTATTTTCTTTCCTATTCTATGTTATATTTTAGCAGTAGAACCCTGAGGGACCCACTTTCCTCTCCACAGTAGGGAGAGATGTGACTGAGGGCTTGATTTGGGCATCCCCTGTCCTCTAGACAAACAGCGACAAACCCTCTAACATATTTAAGATAATTATAGGAAAGGCCACCTGACTGATTCCTTCCCCCAGATGAGATGCTGGAAATCCAGTGGCAGCAGGCCTTGTTTGACCTGTTAACCTCTCTTTCCCCGAAGGCACCAAAAGATTAATTCTGAAACTCTAAATAAAACTCAGAGACTTTGATGGGCACCGCCACAGAAAGACCACATATTTCACTGCCTCTAAGGTTTAATTAGGTACTTGATTGTGTAGCATAGGTGATATCTAGCATTGGTGACTGAATAAAGACTTCAGCCTGATTTGGACCAACTCTCAGGGGCTTACTCAAAGCCCCCCGTCCACCTTGTGTTAAACTCCCCCAGAGCAGCCTGCAGTCCAAGGCAGACACTCCCTGCTGAGGCACCGGCAACAAGTGTGAGAGTCCACAGGCAGAAGTGCACGTGGGGACCACACTGGAGCAATGCACACTTGGAAAAGCAAAATCTTTAATGGCTGATGAAAAACATCATTCACGTGGAATTTAAGAGGTAAATGCATCCATATAAGTGCCAGGCATGTGCTATTTGGAATGTATACACAGTGGAGAAAATAAAAAATGGGAAGATTAACAGAATAGAAAGCAAACATGAATTGCCCTCTGAAAGAGAAGGAGGCCAGTGTCAGTGTCGTTTGAGTTATTCCTAACCTTGTACCTTTTGTTGCACATGACTGAAGTTCTGGAATATTTTAGAACACTAGCTGCTTTTTTTTAAAAAAAAAAGGTCTTTTCACTCTGGTAGGTCACATTACAGACCAGAGACCACAAATTTATTTCAAGTTCAATTTTTTGGTTTTCAAAATCACAAACCTAATTGCAAACACTCCTCCGTGACTCCAAAATGGAGATATATGTCACATTGCTGAGAAATCTTTAGTTCCCAACATTATGAGGTATGAATTTTGTAGTTGAAGCCAGCAAATGGAGATACTGCCCAATTTAAAAAGGGCTGCCTGACAACTTGAGCAAGACGTTTTGGTCGGAATACGCATGTGGCCCAGCAGATAATGCTTCAGAAAGGCAGGCCAAGGCTGAGCTCTCCTTTTCCCAAGAAACTTCCCCTCTTGATCCCCCCCAACCCCCCCGCCTACCTCCTTTGGGGCCTGGACCGGGGCTGGGGCTCAGACATTTCCCAGACTGTGTTCTGCTGCTGGACCCAAGACACGGGCAGGCAGAGAACTGGGACAGAGTCAAGTCCCACCACACGTTTTATGAATTACAGTGCCTGGGAGGCATCAGCTTTAAGGAGAAGCAAAGGCAGAGATAAAGAAAATGTGCAGAAAGTACATAAAGATAAATGCCTGTAAAATCACTGTTGTTTTAATGCATTCCATATTGAGGAAATAAAAACGTGAATATTCTCGATGATTTAATGGCAATAGCGTCCAGCTAAGACCTGTTTGTCCAACTAGACAATTATGCTATTTTTATGCAAATATTTATAGTAGCTGACCCTGATTTTCAGTTACAGTTCTGGGGAGCTGGTTTAGTGCAGAAAAATGCCTTCAAACGTGGGGCACATCACTTTCCCTCATGAAATCTAATAAAGATGAGACAGATCTCCTGTGGCCCAGCAGTGACGCCTTTCCCGGGCTGTGTGACTATTTAGTGGTACTGACTAGCTTCTTCCTTCTGGCCCACTGTTGCATGGGACTGTTCTCAAGTGCTTATCTGTCAGACCTGGGTTCAAATCCCGACTTTGATTCTTATAAACTCTGAAACCTTGAGGAAGTTAGTTAATCTGTATAAGTCATAGTTTTCTCATCCATAAAATGGGGATAATGACACCTTCTGTGTTGTGGGTAAGATTATATGGTATCCAGTATTGCAGGTCAAGTGCTTAGCAGAGGACCTGGTAGATTGTGAGCATAAAATATACATAACCTATTATTATTATTATTATCATTAATATTATCTAGGGCATCTTCTCTATGGCTCTCTGCTTCTGGGAGCAGTGGACTAGGAGTCGGGAAACCTACACTACTGTTTTGTCTCTTTCTGATCACAGGGTCAATCTCTAGAAGGTCGTTCAGTCTTTCAGGGTCTCAGTTTTCTCATCAATAAAAGAGACATGATCACAACTTCCCTGTGATCTCACACTAGGTTTTTAAGAAAAATTTTGGTCCTAAAACATAGTTCCAAAATAGTCAGGTAGATACATCCAAAACTAACAGTGTTTTTAAGAATGAGTAAACTGCTAGAAGACTTCCATGTTTTAAAATTAAAAGGAAGCCCTTAAGGATTTTAATTTGTAAACTTATCTCAGGAAAAAACAAATTCTTGATTTAAGTGCTAAAATTAGTCACACTGAATGAAAATCAGGTTATCATCAAACTAATGCTAAGATTTTTAAATAAAATATTAATTGATTTGGAGTTTGAATATATTAAATACTTTATCTGAAACTGGTGAAATTTTATTGAAAACTAATCTACCCAATTAATACAGAACCACCTAATATTGAGAATTTATTTGTTTTAGCACTAAACTGTTCATAATGATATAACTGTCTCAACTTACACCAGGACTTGGTGTTGCAAAATGCAATACATTTTAATAGGTTCTTAGAGATTCACTCCTAACATAATTCAAGGTCACACAGCTGGCAAGAAGCAGAGGCAAAATTTGAACCCAAGTCTTTCTGTTGGTAAAGCCCATGATCTTTCCACAAGACCATAGAGAGCTATTCTGCATATGTCTTGAAGTCCTTTAGGGCCTCACAAGTGTCTTGATCAGCACCAGCAAACATTCACTGATTTATTCAAAATTTGCTGATCTCTTCCATATGGACTGAATCTAGGAAAGACAAATTCTGCCTTATTGCTGAACCAATAAGAAATCCTCAGAGGTAACGGAGTTATGTAAGATTATTCAGAAATTCTTTCTTTAAATGAAATATAGGAAAAAGCATTGATAGAAAGCTTATTTTTAGAGTTCATACTATACATAAATACAATATGGATATGATTTATCTGAAATCTAAATACTCTGGAACCCTGATATAACCGTCTTTGTTTTTAGACAGAACTTGCGATCAGATAGGCCTGCTTTAAGCCCTATTCAAACGTATTTATTTACCAAATGCTATTAGATCCTCTTAAAAGATAAATCTCAAGATGAATTTGCTGTGGTGTGCCGAAAGACATTCTTCCACATTCTTTGCCTGAAACAAACCTAAACCACAAATGGTTGTCTTTGAAAGGGAAAAATTGAGGTTTCAGGTAGTCAAATTTCTCATACTCTTTGCTGGCACAAATGCTAGATCATGGACATCTCTCAAGAAAGTTGACCATTATTTTCTTAAACATCGAAGAAGCCATCAAAAGATAAGCCAATTCCCTTCTGAGGATCCCACAGAAACACAACATTATCCCCAACAGGCCATATTCCTCAGACATAACGGATTTCCATCATGAAATATGAATGTGCCTTCCAAATCCACTGCGACTTGAGATGGGCAACTAAGCAATCAACGTTCACTCACTCTTGACAATTCACAGGATGACTGCAAAATTTACCTCTCAAGTTCTGCAATCTTCTTGTCCTTGTCATTCTTTTCATTCTCCACCTCCTTGAGGATCTCCAGCAACCGGTCGACTTCTGCTTGGGCCTTGCCACACTCATCACGGTAGTAAGATGCCTCTTTATCAAGCTGTTTTATTCGGTCTGCAAACTCGGGGTTCATCCTGGAGTCATCTTCAACATTATGAGCCTTCAACATTATATTTTTAAAGAAGGTAGTTAAGACAACAGCATAGAACAATAGATAGTGCAGTCACCAATGGCCCAGAAATTAACTTGGAAGAAAAAAATAATAACCACCAAGAATTATGGGTATACTGTCAGTTAAAAGGCAAAACAGAAAAAAAATCACACGTTTCAGGTACTTTAAAATAAGTTACATTAGAGTTTCACAGGGGAGTTTTTTTATCATTGATATTTTGTTCCATTGAATGTTGTCTACTTTTTGCTTTTTTTTCCCACCAAAAAATGAGGGCTGTGTGGGGGCAGAGACTGTGATGTCTTTATCCCTGGCGTTTTGGCAAGCAGAACTAAGACAATTCAACTCCTCACAGTTAAGGAGGTGATTCATACCAGCAGCTTCCTTATCCAACACAGAGAAACTGAGATAAAACAATATTAAATTATTTTTCCAAGAACTATCAAAGGCATATGTAAAGCCAGGTAACATATAAGAGACTGGTTGACTGATCATTGAACACTTCATCCCACTGTGAAATTTCAGCAGAAGGCGTTGTTTGAAAGAAAGACTTGGAAGTGAGGAAGGGCTTTCCAGCTAACAATCATACCCATAAATTCTTGTTCTCTTGATTAAATTTAACCTGAACCAGGAGGAGGATGAGCTAATTCATGAACAAGCACACAGACGAGAATCTGCAAATACATGCATGGGTGGGTGGCAGCTTTACACACAGGAACAGACACAGGCAACAACACAGCAACAACACTGCAGAATAATTTGCAGCCAAAGTATTTGTGGTTTTGTGTGTGTGAGAGTGTTTTATGGCTTTTTTTTTCTTCCCCAAATAAACTTTTGGCTGAAATATTCCCAGACAGATGGAAAGAACACTGCACTGCAATGTTTTGCCTACCCCTTGTTTCCCATTATTCCTAATTGACTTCTTCAAAGAGCAGGCAGGGAAAAAACAAGTAGTTTAACAACAGTGCACATTCAACAGAGAAAGTTCAGAGAAGTCATATATGTATGTATCTCCAAAATCCACATGTGAAATAATAAAATGTTAACAATTTATCAGGACTTAAGCTGTTCTGCTGTCTTGCTATGTAGAGCAGATGTTCATTGCGTTTCTATACACTTTTTTTTCTTTAATTTCAGGGAAAAAACAAGGCAAGCAAGCTATAGCTACTGTGGGGTCAAATGAATCATGCATGGTTAGAAAAATTAATACTAAGACTACTGTTAGAAGATTGACAGTCTTTGCAATGATTTAGTAGAAAAAAAATTCAAAAATTAGTATAAATAAAAATAAATTTCTTATTTATGACAAATAATTAATTTTAGAAGAATACTTTTGCATGTAACATATTATTTAAGCATGAGGATAGAAGGGGAATAATTTGCCTTCACATTACTCTTTAATCTAAGATTTCCTCATTCAAGAAATAAACTCAACTGTGCAAGAGAACTTGGAAAAATATATCAATTTAACATACTATCAGGTACTGGTTTATTCCCTTTTACCAACATTTCTCAGAAAATGGTTCTTTTTAATTTATTTAGTATGTACACTGAGTTTCATTATAATAGATTAGTGAGTTTTTTTAGTGCAAGTAAAATAATCTGAGAGACAATCTTGAGCTAATATGCCTTTAGGAGTTTACTTACCTAATAATTTGATTTTAAATTGAAGTAATAAATATTTAAATTTGTTAATCTTCACCTTAAAAATGTAGAGTAGATATTCTATTTTAGAAGAAAATAACTTCTCCATATACCTACTTCTGTTTGTGATAATAAGAATCAACTGGTTACTCTTGTAACAGAAAAGCATTTAAAATATAGTTTTTAAATTGCTAAGAAGAAAATAAAATGTTCCGTTAATTCTCTTCCATTTTTATACTATATCACCATTATCTCACAGAAACTAAAAACTTATTCATGATGTTTTTCTCAAACTACCAAGTCAATGATCTTCAAAAAAGAATTAATGAACTGAGTAATGAGCAGCTAGAAACACTCAAAACAAATGAATAAATATGTTTTAATTGCCTGTTTCTGACTTCAGCTAAAATTCCTTTCTTGAGTCTAATGTAAAGATTAACAAAGAGCTAGAAGTTAGCCTCTGTGCTTTTATTTGGTTGTTTTTATTCTTACGATTATTATTATCATTATTTTTAATAAATGGGTACAGGATTACTAGTTGCGAGACCTAGATTCTAAATCTAGCCCTGTGTTTTACGACTATGGACAGACCAATTAACCTAAGGACAGCGAAAACTACAAAATGACAAACATGGGGAGGGTATTATTCATTTGTTTTTATTTTAATGATTATTTCATGTTATGCATCCCATCAATGTGGCTTGTTATACAGCTAAGTTAGGAGGTTTATTTAATTTTCATCAACAAAAAACTACATACATCCTCGAGAAGCCTCCCTCCTGGGTTTACAGAGAAGCAGTCTGGGGGTAAGCACATTTCTTATTTTAGCTCCTTCAAGAGAAGACGATCGCCCAAGGCCAGTTTTCAACCTGGGGTGAAATTAGATGGGTTGGTAGCCTTTGCAACCCAACAAGTGAGATGGTTAAAGGATTCATGGGATGTTTAGAGGTACAGAAAGCCTAGGAAAAAAACATCCCTGAATCTAGACCACCGCTGACCTCATGTGATGCTAAAGTTAAATCAGGTTATTAAAATAAAGACCATAGCCAAGTTTACAGCTGGCCTGGTGTCTGTTAGCTAATACTTGTGGATGCTAATGATTCTGCCTTTTAAAAGGAATAGACAACCTCAAGAATACCTTTGAGTTAAATCTAACTATCTCCGTAACAGTATCTACTGATTTCTGGCCAAAGAATTTATGTCAAACCAACTTCCACATTGGTGTCAGAATTCTTGGAAGAGTTATTAAATAAAGGTGCAAATAGATATCATTTAAAAAAATTTAAGTCAATAGAAAGCTGTAAGAAAGAGTCATATAAATGGAAGCAAGAGCTTCACATGACTGAAGGCTAGTGAATCCCAGATCCAACCTGAGTAGGGGAGGAAAAGCCTCCATGGAATTTATAAAAGATCTTGCAGGTAACCAGCTCTATTCGGCCTCAATCATAACTTTTCAGAGGATGGGCTGAAATCGCTAATCAGTATAGCATGAATGTGTAATACTGTGATCTAGAGACATGGAGGTGATACTATACTAAAGAAATGCAGGAGAAAACTGAGCTTACAAAGTCAATGCTTCCATTAAAGTTATAAGGCCAGAGCCGCCTCTAAAAATGGAGTGAGTGAAGCATTTTATTCACATTTAGGCAATATTCTTTCCTGTTCAAATTACAACATGGGTTCTTGAATCTGGACTGGCAGCTCCTGATGGGGATCAAAAGTAGATAACAGATTTGGGCCTAATGTACTTCAGCCACTGCAAAAAAATATATATATATATTTTAAAAAATCGTTATCTGAACAAATTCCTACCATGACATTCTGACTAATTCAAGGTTTAGACTGAAAATGCACAGTAATTACTTCCTCTTATGGATCCGTTAGTTTGAAATTAGCTCCCCCAAAAGGTCAGGATGCGACTGCCCATTCCATTCTTCTAAGGCATATCGACTTTGTCCATTAGTCGGGAATCTAGCTCTTGAAAATGCAGATTGGTGTGGATTTTCTTTTAATGGTTTCAGAACTTATTTATCATAAATATATCCAAGCACATCGTCACTTTCAAAGACATCCACAAGTCATTAAAACAAAAAGAATATTAATGAGTATTCTTTTCTTAATGTGGAGATTTAATTTTGCTGATTAACCAGGTGTCTGATTCTGCCTCTTCTTAATGTGGAGATTTAATTTTGCTGATTAACCAGGTGTCTGATTCTGCCTCAAACTATTTCTGGTAACTTTTAGAACAACTCCCAAGCATCTTATAGAAACACAGAAAACCGGGGAAAAGAACATTTCAGAACTGTCTGTATTACATAGTAGATCAGTAAGTCTTGAGGGTCCTCCAGTTATGTTTCTTGCATTTACAGATGTAAGAAAATTTGCCCACAAATGCGGAAGAATCAAAACAAAGTTTGGAGCCTCAGTGATGTGAGCAAGCCTTGGCATTTGGATGCGAACTGATTTTGAAAGCCTGAACCAAGCACAAAAGGGAAACCTGGTCACGACTTAGAACACAACGTACATAACAATACCTAGTGGTTATTTTAATGAAAGAATTTAGACTTATTTCAGAAAATAAGGCAAAATTTCAGATTTACACTATATCTAAATCAAAGTTAAGAATAAAAAGTGGCTAAAGTTGGGGTGCCTAGAAGGGAGAAGATCCAAGATGGCACCGTGAGTAGTCCTCTTTGTCTCTCCCCCTTCAAGTCTACAATTATTTGGACACTCATCGCTTAACAAAGGATATCCAGATAGCATCTCAGGACGTCTGAGAGACCCACGCAACTATACATCAGAAGGCGGACAGACTTCCCTCCGGGAGGAGGTGGAGATAGATAAAAACTCTCCGACCCCGACCGAACAGTCTAGTACCTGCAAGCGGCTTTTTTCCAACGGACGCCCCCAGAAGATCAACACACACCTAGGGAAGGAGCGAGCACACACCAGAGGAGCGACGGTGGAGACAGGTGACCAGAACCCTACCTAAACCCCCCGCAATTACTCCTAAACGCAGAGGGAAACTCTAGAGTTACACACCTGAGCCCACAGGGAGAGTCTCACCCCGCCATTGGTGGGGAGATCCCGCCTGGTGTCCACGGCGCCCGAAGGGTCCCAGAGAGAATCACAGAGGGCGTGGTGGCCCCCTGGCTGCCACTGCCTGCACAGCCAGGCAAGGGGTTGCCAGAGATCTTGGAGAAGACTGGGGCTGGGTGAAGCTTCAGAGGCTGGCTCCGCGCCCCCGGAGGGTAAGCTCCAGAGTTCCGCCCAGGCAGCAGACAAAACTCTCTGTCTGCCATTAGCAGAGGGGCCACGCCCAGCATCCACAACACCGGGAGGGTCCC